ATATTGTGATTGTCATATCTTCTTAACGAGTTCGGTGACCCCGACTTTTTTGTGTGATTTTACTTTAAGTATATCATAAACTCCATGCCTGGGAAGTTTCAGCACATTCTCATTTCGGGAACAATTACTGCGGAATTACCTTAAGTGAGAAAAGTACTTCCAATTAAATGATGCCAAATACTACAGATTTTCTATGGGCATTCCTGGACCACCCTGTACTGTTTCCTCCTTTATAGTAACACTGAAACAATGGGCTAACTGGACTCCTATGGAGAATAGTTTAGACCATAGTCAATAGAATAAAAAGGTCAGGGAACTTGATGCAGACATAAAAGACCTCATTATCTATGTTTGTTCTTGGTTTATGCAAGAAATCGTCGGTTCATCGTCACATGTGTATTGAATTTTCGCCTAACCAAACAATAGCAGTGTGTTGGTTTCGAATTACACAATGGCTAAATAAAAACATCTCTATTGGTTGTTCTAGCGAAAATAGAATACACATGTGACGATGAACCGATAGATAATGAGATGTGTTTTGTCTGCGTCGAATTCTTTAACCTTATTCTATTGACTATGTTTAAACTGATTAAACTATTCAGTATAAATAAAGTTCCCCCTCCCCCTTGAAGATATGTTCTTTTATACTAAATGGACCTATTCCCTAATGAACAAAATTTTGATCTAGACAAGTCTAAACAAAAATTTCATCATCTTGAAAGAGCATTACAAAATTATATTAATTATAGCCCTGCGAAGTTTGCCGTTTTTCAGCATTTCGTATTACGGGAAATTGATACCTTTCTTCACTTCAGAAAGCGGTATCAATTTGCCGTGCGTAATACAAAATGACTGAAAAACGGCCAACTTCGCAGGGCTATATTATCCGCATTTTACAACATTTCGCAACGAAACGTCGGAATTTTTTCTAATTTTGTGATGCTTTTTCAAGCTGTAATGAAATTTTGTCTAGATCAAAATTTTGTTCATTAGGGAATAGGTCCATTGCCAATTTGCCATGCATTTTTTGTCGGGGGATTAAATGCTTGGTTGTCTTTCAGGTAAATGTTACGAGAAAGCGGACTATTTCTGGCTTGCAGACAAGCTTATTGGAGGCACAACCATTGCAGAACTACGCAAGGGAAAAGAT